CCCTGAGGGGAATCTGTTTGAGTTGATAACTGTAACACACAGGTGGAAAACAAAAGGAACAATAGCTGCCTGTTCTCTGCTGGACTGCCACTTAATACAGTGACTCTGCATGTAGATCAGCACAAGCCACAAGCTTATCCACCACTCTCCTGTTCTATATCTACACACTATATCTAAACACAACAGGTTAGCAAAAGTGGCTAGCCAGCTGGCACGATAGTGATGAGTTGCTATAATATACGAGATCCATAGCACATCTGTAGCATAGCGTATCCATGTCGGGCCTACCCTGTATTGTAAATAGCATGACAAGCATATTAGAAAATGTAAGTTCCAAAACGACAAATTTATCAAAGCTACAGTTATTTGGGGCTCTCATTTTGGTGCTTTTTAAAATGGTTAAATAGCTAAATAACATAGGGCTAGAGCCACCATAGTTTAGACGTCACATGTGACATCTAAACTATGGTGGCTCTACAGAATCAAACAGCACTGAGCAAGTCTATAATACATTGTGTATTAAGATTTCACCTAATATATATAACCATAGATTAGCAATTTGCCCTGATATGTATGAAATTAAAATTAAATAGGCCCCTAGTTAAGATTTGATTGTTTCATTTTGTACACACTGTGTTTTACAACACCTTACTGTACAGTTTATCCATGTGTCTTTTCGGGTGCTCTTGTTTTAATTACAGTGTTCAAGTGAAACCACCATGCAATCAACCTCAAGTCAGAGATGCTCGCAAGTCTCTGAGCAAGAGTCCAAGTCAAGTCTCAAGTCTCTCGTGGTTATTACGAATGTTGGATCACCTGCTGCATTCAGTCCAGGTTGTTTATAAAAACTGCAGAGCTTTAAGGAATTCTGTAAATTCTGAAAACTGTAACCTGTTTTTCATTTACAGAGCACAACCATGTAATGTGCAATGCAATTACTGACAGCTTATTAAATACTGTAAGTCAACACACTCACCAGACTCTTAAACCCAGTGTAACGTTAACTAAATAAAACTGTGACGTTGCATAATCAACAATAAACCTGTAACCTGTTTTTAACTTAATTAATGAGTTATTATAAGCTTAACTACTGCAAGTCAATAAACCCTGTTGATTTTCAAACCCAGTGTAAAGTTAACTAAATAAAACTGTTACATGTTCAACAATAAAGCTGTAACCTGTTTTTAACTTACATGTAATCAATGACAGCTTAAACTACTAAGTCAACAACTAAAAATAAACATTGTTCACGAGTCCCGCACCTCGAGTCCGAGTCGAGTCTGAAGTCTTTTGAGGACGAGTCTCAAGTCGAGTCTGAAGTCACTGTGTGTGCGACTTAAGTCACACTCGAGTCTGAGTCTCTAACTCGAGTCCCCATCCCCGCCCCAAGTCTACCAACTTTCGTTTTCACCCTTCAATTAATTCAAAAGTATTGAGTATAAATCAGTACCGTTTTAGTTTCAAATATCGTTTGGGTATCGAGTATTGTGATACTAAACTTGGTATCGTATCAAAGCAAAAGTATCATGAAAACACTACACAGTGGTGCAGCCCCGTCATCGAGCCTGCAGTTGAAAATCTCCCTGAGCCAATCAGTTTTGCCAGTAGGAAAAACATTTCATCTGGTGAGTACAAAAATACAAAACTGAAGTCTTTTTTTCTAAGTTAATGTTTATTTTTGCAAGACTGTAAATCACCTATTAGACCTATCTGTAGGTAAGTATCAGTGAAGGTTAAATTTACCATGCTAACCTATCTTTGGTGCTAGGCAGTGTAAAGTTAAAGGAGACCAGGAAGAGACAATGTTGAACTGTAATGAAATAAATTAACAAACTCTTCGGTCTCCGTGCTGGTTGTTCGGATCAGCGTTGACAATGTTACTTAAAACATTCTTTCTTAGCCCTGAAACTCAAACCATTTTCTGATGCCCCCCCCAAAAAATATTAACTAAATTAATATCAGAAACATGCTACTACTAGTCAACTAGTAAAATCTTTAGTCGGTTGCAGGCCTAATGAAAAGCCCTGTAAAAGCAGATGGGCGCTGCAAAAACAGGTGACAAATTCTCTGTAATTTCATCACTATGAGCAACCCCTTTCACAATCACATTGTTTTCACATTGTCATTTGATACATTGTTATTTATAGTTAAAACTATTGATTTTGGGCATTTTAACATGGATTGGGTATTTCCTACTTTCTACATTGTAGTCATGGTCGATGGAGGATAAAATAATTATCACTGCGATAACTTACCAGAGTTGTAAAATCCCGTTCCACAGTATTGTAAACTGCTGTACGATGTCTATTTTAGACTTCAGATTTGTGTCATGTTGCGAGTACAATAAAATATGTTCACAAGCAAATTATATAATTTCACACACATAGATATTAACTGCCACCTTAAAATCCTCGCAACTAAGCAGCAGTAAGAACTAAGTAGTAAACGAACCAAGCAGCCACCACTTGTGTTTGAAGTCGAGTTCTGCTCGTGAAAATGGACCTGACTTTTGACAATTGAAGTAATAAGAGCAAATGCTATCACAGCGCACAACCCTGAGGTTCTCTAGATTTGCTTTTGCCTTTGTTGACTTTTCTTATCTCAGTCTAAAGCCAGTCGCACACTAACATCATCCTCTATGTAGTCAGTTGAATTTGCCTCCTACTTTGCCTATTTCGCACATATGAGTGAGTGGGTTTCTCTTTTTTTCTTTTTTAAAACACTGGTATGTATTTAATCGGGTCTCTTAACATTCTCATGCCCTACTAACAAAACAAAAATCTCTACCATACACCTTAATCTAGCCAGAGTACATGAATTCATTTGAAAAAGTGAAAACCAAAACCCCTTAAAAACACTGAGCACCCCCTGGTCTAGCGCTATGGAGTGCAAGCCATATAGCATAACATGCATCCCCAGATATATGCTGCCTAATATGTTACCATGGTGAAACGTATACAGACAGGGCCACATGAAAGACAGCCTGCCTGATTGGTCAAATAAAAAGGAACAAATTTTTTTGCGGGTCTTTTTAAAAAAGAAACCTTAAGCCCTTGATGGACGAATTATGTAGAATTTAAGGGGTTCATAGATTTCACCTTAATTTACACATTCATGCTCGTACAGCATCTCATCACTTCCTAGATAGGCTTTCACGTCAAATAGCACAGTGTCAAAGTTAAAGAATCTGGCATTCATCTCTAAGATTAGCCATGGAAGTTTCACAGTATTCCATTTTTGGTGTTGGTTAACATGAGAAGAATCATGGCTCCAAGATTTAATGAATTTAAAACATTTGAGGAACACTTTGTACAAAAGTCTTGTTAAGGATGTTCACACAGATCCTTAATAGAAACGGAGCTCCTTCAACAACATGTACAATAAAGAAACTTTCAAACTTCAACCTGCGAGGCCATCAGCATGGAAAATATACAGATGAAGATTTAAAACAGCTGCCATGATGTCTTTACCTCAGCTAAACCTTCAATCTATTTGCATTTCAAGTCACAATTCAAATCCTCAGACAAGGTCAACCATTTCCATAAGGAGGCAAACATTTCCCTAATCAAAAGACTCAAACTTGCTTCGTCTGCAAACGAGATTCGTTGCTTGTTTATGGAAAAACACCCAGGCTGGTTGGACACATGCGTCCAGGATCTGACTCTGTGTTGACACACCACCTCAGAGTATGTAGGTGTGTTTTACAGCCGACCTGGAAGTCTTCCAGGCTAAATGTATGTTGTGATTAGTTAAATTGACACTGCGCCCAGTATCATACATGTATCTCCCTCAGACAAAGAGGTGGCTGTAAAAAAAGTTTGTAGTTTGCTTTTGAACAGAAAACAGCAGCTGTAATTGTTGTCAGTGTTGATTCATGTCAGTTAAAAAAAAGGCTATCCTAGACAGGACAAACTGGGACTAATGTTTTCACAGCAGAAATAAAGTACTGGAAGTCCAAAGGATGGTTTGAGTGTTACAATTTTATGAATTTTTAAAGGAGTTCTCAAACTCACAAAATTGATTTTGGGTGGAATGCCACTTTATTATTATTCAAAAAAAAAAAAGGGAAAAAAAAGGGTGGCTTAAAGATAACTGAAATTATACTTCTATACTTCTGCAAAAATCCCATACATATGGAGCACCTGAAGGGTAAGGGTTAATTGTTTTTAGGTGGGACAAAACTAAGACTACTTCTGGAAATATCTATGCATTAATAATCAAATATGAAGTGCACCATAGACACTTTAGTCTACAAATGTCACCATTGTGACAGTGCCTCCAAACAAACATTTTGGCCTTAGGGAACAGAGGAAAGACTACAAGAAAATTAAACAGGATTTTATGTAGCAGAAATTATATTCATGATATTTTAAATACTTTTCTACTTTCTTATCCTGTTTTATCATCTTTAAACCCATTGTAGAGTGACTGCCAGTTTGGGAACCACTGGTGGCAGATTTTGATGGCCTTCACTATTAAAGCCTACTTTTTCTGGTTTAATAGGCTGAGGTGGTTTTACCTCCACCCATGTAAAATATTGAACTCCAAGTCCCTTTCCAGCGTAAATGTGTCCAGCCACCCACCCAGCCCACAGATGGTGAATGATGAACACTGAGAGTGATTAAAACAATGCTGTCCTCCCTTTCAAAGTAAACCGAAAGCGCAAAAACAAAGATCCTATACAGAGTATTACTTTTTGACAAATGATATGTTTTGTCACCACGGTAAGACACAAGATTATCAGAAGAAAGAGAAAGATTAATAGTAAAAGCCCAAAGTTTGTGTAACTTTGTGTTTTCGTCATATCTGACCTGTTGGGTCGTTATGAATTGGTGTGGTAATATATGAAGTCTCAAAATGAAGAGAGGAAAGGTGATTTGAGCAGCAGCCGCCCAGGTGACCTGCTGCTCTCAGGGGATTTTAAATACTACTGAAGCTAAAAACTCAGAGCAAAACACGCAGACGCACACACAGGTAAATGTATGTCTAGCTGGACTTACTCGTGTCCTTTGCAGATAGATAAAAACGGTGAATCCTGTTTTCAGTCGGTGTCCGGGCGTTTTGTCACCGCACCATGTTGTCCTCTGCTTCCTGCTTGTAGAGAGCTCCGGCTGCGTCTCCCCGCCCTTCTTCCTCCGCTGTCTCACCTGCTCTGACCAAACCTGCAGGACCGGTCCGATTCGCCCAATAGCCTACTTTAACCAACAAGAAAGGGCTCGTTAAAAACAACGCGTGGCATTATGGAACTCTGTACTGCGGAAGTGGGCAGTATGTCCTGGTCACATGAGCACAGGTAAAGGCGTGTAATTGAATTCTTAATTAAACCAGGTGGTGGTTTACAGGGGAAATGCTGCCTGCCTGTTGCTGTCAAACATGTCCATTATTGTTGTTTACCTAAATACTGTGTGTTAATCATTTCAGAAGAGCATTTGGGGCTGATGCAAATATGCATATTATAATAATATATTATTTTAATGGATGTGTGTCACATATTAGTGATAAATAAGCCTTTGTCAAGGGAACTGCTGTAACAACAAGGCACACGAAATATAAAACATACTCTTATTAATATGATTTGAAAGAATAACATATATAATATAACTTTAAAAACCAGCTAAAATTGAACAAAACAAAAAATGATGTAAAGTACACAAAGTAGTGTAGCTGCAGTGCAGTGAGAGATAAAAGGCACTACAGAAACATTTAAGACATTCTCTGTTTTTCATATAACATTAATAACTTAGTTTTAGGTGTAGCCTAATAAAAGATCCGTCAGTTGAATTGTGAGTTATGCATATGTGTGGTTTTTGCCTTTTTTATATACACAAAAAAAGTTGAACCATGAAGAGTCTAGATATTAATGCCACTTTTGGTGAGGTGGAATATAAAGCAGAATCAAGCAGGGCATTGAGAGGGAGTGTCAAGAGAAAAAGAATGCATTGCTTATTTGTAGTATTAAAGTGCATAGCCAACAAAGAAAAAAAATTAAACACCTTAGGTTACCTCATAATAATTACCAGATCAGGATCACGTAATTATGAGAAAAGTTAAAGTCTAACTTAGTTAAGCTATCAGTCATCACTTACCTACACTACAGGAAAAGTGGATAATAATTGCAGTTTTGGATTTGATCTGCTTTATTTCCTTCTTTGTATGAGACACTGGGAAATACTGATGTTACTTCATGAGGATGGCATCTGTGAAGGTTCTCAGTCATCCAGGTCAAATTAATCCAATGAAGGTTGAGGTCAAGGGCAGATGGACTTCGTAGAAAAAACTAGAAGATATTTCGTCCCTAATCCAAGAGACTTCTTCACTTCTGACTGACTGGTAAGGACACTCAGCTATTTAACCTCTCTGGGATCGTTAGCTAGGATCGTCGATACCACTGGTTCGTTAGTGCTCCTGGCTGTGGTAACGTCGTTATGGTCGTTAGAACCACCCGTGGCCAAGTCTGAACAACCATCGTTGGTATCTTCACCTGAGCCCAAGTGGAAAAGTTTGTTGAGTTTCCTGGGAAGTGATGAAAGGATAGCATTGTAAGTGGGTGATAAGTGGTGGCGTAGACCCCCTCCTCTGTTCAGCGACGGCTTCTCATCCTGGGTGTAAATGGCTTCCTTGACACCTTTCAAACCACCCATCTTCTGTGCACATGGTGATCCTCAAACGAGTGTCCTTTGTCCTTCAGATGTAAGTAATGCAGAGTCTTGACCTGAGGAGTTAGCTTTGTGTTGAGCCATGCATTTGTGTAGTGGTTGCTTAGTTTCCCCAATGTACAGGTCTGTGCATTCCTCGCTGCATTGGATCGCATACACTAGATTGCTTTTCTTGTGTATGGGTGTGCGGTCTTTGGGGTGTACCAGTATCTGTGTCTCGGGCAAAGTACTCCTGTGGTTCGAATCCTCTCAGGCCATACAATACATACAATGTTTTGTGGCAAGGACAATTATCTTCCTCCTACTGCCTCTCCACAAGGGTGCCCCAAGGCTCGGTGCTAGGGCCCCTTCTCTTCTCAATTTACACCACCTCACTGGGGCCGATCATTCACTGCCATGGCTTCTCTTACCACTGCTACGCAGATGATACACAACTGCCTTCCCGCCAGACGACCCCACCGTCTCGGCGCGGATCACGGACTGTCTCTCGGATATATCTACATGGATGAAGGCTTGCTACCTTCAACTAAACCTCTCGAAGACTGAACTCTTGGTCATTCCAGCCAAGCAATCTTTCTACAAATTGACTCCTCAACCATCACTCCAACCAGGGTGGTGAGAAACTTGGCTGCCATGATTGATGACCAGCTGTCCTTTTCAGACCATGTTGCTGATGACTCTCGGTCGTGCTGCTTTGCTCTATACAACATAAGAAAAATCAGGATCTACCTTACTCAGTATGCCATCCAGCTACTGGTACAAGCCATCATTATCTCTCCCCACGCCTACTGCAATGCCCTCCAAGTCTTCCAGTCTGTGAGGTGAAACCCCTACAAATGGTTCAGAACGCAGCAGTGCGTCTGGTTTTTGATCAGCCCAAAAGGACTCATGTCACTCTATTACTCAGTGACCTCCACTAGCTACCTGTGGATTCCCAGATCAAATCAAGTCACTAATGCTGCATACAGAGTGTTTGCTGGGTCTGCACCCATCTACCTAAACTCCATAATACAAGCTTACGTTCCTTCTCGGCCACTGCGCTCGGCCACTGCGCTCCTCCAACGAACGCTGCCTGGCTCTGCCATCCCTACACACAAAGCAATCTCAGAACGAGTTTCCACATGCCATCTAACTTCAAGAAGCTCTTGAGAACTCATCTCTTCCAAGAACACTTCCTCTTATAACACTTCTAACTCCTAACCTCTAACATGCACTTCCTTTGCTCTTCTTCTTCTTCTTCTATCCCCTACAATTCTCTTGTATTGATTGCACTTTTTTCTTAACTCTTACTTCTTTCCCTAGGTATTTACGCCATTGACACCATATGTGCTATTAGCTCTTACTAGTTTTAATTGCTGCCCTTACTAACCAGGCATTTTAGTGACCAGACATGCCTGTTTTCAGGGGACAGTCCCAGGTTTTGGTGACCTGTCCCCGTCTGGAAATGTCCCTGTTTTTAACTGTGTGTTAATCACAGACTGTATGTGTTAACAGACTTGAAATCAGATTTTACACGGCCAGAAAGACTGGACAGCAGAGCTGACAGGTGTCGCATCAAAACGTGATCGTCCCCCGAAAACTGATTGCCGTCTGCGGGAGCGCAGGCAGCATGTTAAAGCTGTATCGCCCAGTCTCTTTACGTCTACAGCTGCTTTTATCAGGATCAAACAGACATATCGTGCAAACAAACATCACTTTATGTCCATAGCAAAGGTATGTCTTTGTGATACTTTAAAGTTTCTTTTAACGGAATAATCTCAGTTGTGGCCAAATAAACTTGCAGTTTATAGCGTAACCAGGCATGCCAGAAAGTGAGTGCAGCTTCTACTTATTGACTGAAAGGTTATTTCTGCCCTGAAATGACTTGATTATATTCATGAGGGTTATATTTGACAGATTATAACTCACCTAGTACTTTTTACCTCTTAAAATACCTTTAAATGGTAAAAAGTATTCTACTTGCCAGAAAGTGATTGCAGCCTCTACTTATTGACTGAAAGGTAGTTTCTGCCTCATAATGACTTGATTTCATTCAGAAGAGTTATATTTCACAGATTATAAACTGAAATTGCCCCCCTTTTTTTAAATTTATGATTACATTATATTTATTGAATGACATAAGCCGTGTTTTGACCAAAGGAACTATACCCCGGAAATAGGAACCTTTGGAGGAACTTACTGCGTTTCCACTGAAGGGACCAGGGTCTAAATTTAGTTCTGGGGTCTTTATTTTACCCCTAAAAAGTTCCTGCTCGGGCGGTAGTACTTTTCGAAAGTACTCGTATTTTCGGGGGGTGGGACTTGCCTTGCAGTTCATTTCTGAATGGGCGAGTAGAGGTTACTGGCTTTAAATCGAGCATGTCGGGTGGTTTCTGCTACTGCTCCTCTCTTTTCCAACGTTGTTTGTCAACAGTCAAATAGCACTCAAGTCTCGCCAATGTCCGCCTGACTTCGGCATTAAATGTGTTGCTCGGAAATAGCAGCCAGTGTGCAGCGGTGTGTTTACAGCGAACAGCTGTTGGAGTTACGCTAAATACTGGGTCCAAAGTTGTTGTTTTAAGTTTTCATCAGTCAGAAAGTTTTTACACAGAGCTGAAGTCGGTCTCCCCCTCTGCTAAACAAGCGGAACAGCTGACTACAGCAGGTAATAAAGCTCGTTAAACATCCTGTTACTCCGACGCTCAGGCGGACACAGACGTGAGTGCAGCCAGCTGATCTGCAGCTCTTGTCGGCTGGAAATGTTTTAACAACCTTCCAAACTGTCGCGATTTTATGTTTGTGTTGCTTTCTCTGTGCTGGAGTTATTTTATGAACGTGATGGCTTTATCCAGTTTGTTATTAAATTTGTAATGATCTTTATCGTGTGTCTCTTCATTAGACTCCCACACAAAAAAGCTGTTTTTAACGGTCAAGCGTACAGGCCGACAGCCTACGTCAGCTGATTAATTTGCCTAATCTTCGCAGGTCTTTAGACCATGGTGGAAACGCACACAACAGTGGGCTGAAGGAACCTTTTGGTTCCTTGAAAAGAGATCAGGGGACTAAAAAGTCCCGGATACTTTTGGTCGAAATACGGCTACTGACCACCAAACCAAAAATGTCCCTGGTTTTCATTTTAGAAAACTGGTCACCTTAAGGTATTGTCAATTGTAGATCTCGTGCTATATTGATGCTTTGTTGATGCTTGTATGTTGTTCTTCAAATGTAAGTCCCTTTGGATAAAAGTGTCGACCAAATATGTAAATGTAATGTAAATGTAAAAAGATGATGAAGAAGTCTTTTCTTTATAGAATTAGGCACACTGGGAATGGAAATCAGGGGTGCTACAAAAAGAGAGATATGGGGAAATAAAAAATTTCCATAAAGCAACATCTAGGCTACATCGCAAAATGACCAAACAGGAATGGTGATAGTTCTACTACACCGGTGGGAGGCAGCAATGCACTAAACAGTGCCGAGTCTGCCGGAAAGAACGAAGACGAAGAACCCGCCTTTCCTGTTGTCTGTTGACCAATCAGGAGCTCACATCCTAAAGCAACTCTCTGTACCTGTAGTGTGGCCCAGAAACAGGACAGCTAGTTAGC